AAGAAACCCAGAAAATGCCTATCGCTGCACCTGAATCTTCTGTTTATTCAGGTGCAGCGATAGGCATTTTCTGGGTTTCTTTTGCGAGGTGTATTTGGAGTTTCAGCGCGAGAGCGCCCTCTGGTCTTTGGATTGAGATTTACTGCTGATCACAGAACCGTGCTTCACTGAAAGATACGCATGACAATCGCAGCTTCTGTCGAATTGCGATCTCGATTCCATTTCGATTTATCGTGCAGCCCTAGATGTGTTTATGGAACATCCATCCAAAAATACTAGAGTTTTGTCCCTTAAAATAATTTAAAAAAAATGCTGTTAATACCATAATTGTCTTTCATGCATTGGTCAATTTTGGGCTGTTTGGCTTCCATAACATATTCTTTCTGACTAGTGTATAGAAAACATTCAAACTACACAAGTTTATTTCTTTATTTATTACACATGATGTGTTTGCATTTGTAGATTTCAATTTCATCTGCAAAGACCATTTTCTCAGTGTCTTCACTTCAGCAGCACTTATTACATCAAACTTTATAGTTTTAGTCCCATGTATATTGTGAAGGTTTTTGCAGTCAGGTTTGTTCATAGATTATTCACCAGATTTATAACATTTTATCTGAATTTTTGATAAAGCCAGGTTCAAATTTCATGCTTCATTTGAACCTGGCTTTATCCAAAATTCATATTTCTGTTCTGGAAATGTATGCAAATTAGAGCTTTGATAGTGCATTATTTGCTTGTTTAAACATAACATTTCAGAAAATGTGTAATACAAAACCGTTATCTTGATGTACAGTGATTAATCAGATGGTGATGTATGTTAGTTAAACTTTTTACTGTTTACCTGTGGTGTCACTTTGACTTACACTTTCTTCTTTCTTTACAGGTTATGGTCCCCCTGCATTCCTCCTCTACAACTGAATCTTTATAAGATGATCAGATATGAACATTGATGTCTGATGTTCTTATTAATATACAAATAAACTATCGACAACCATCATGCTGTAGTAACTTATTGGTACTTGTACATGAAAATAAATGTTGAAACCTGACATATCTTGTCAACATGTCTCTCACATGTTGTGTTTTAACATGAAAATATACACTTTGAGTTAAAGAGACCCACATCGTTGTCAAGGTTGGATGTTTAACTATCGTTCATGTAATTAACATTATAAATTAAAAACTTAAATCCAAACTGAATTTAACCCCAATATAGCAATAATGTTGCCGTAGTCATTTCTAGAATATTTTCCAAGGTGCAAGCAACGCATTTTTTTTTTTTTTAACTCAGTTTCAAGAAAAATATGAAAATTTGTTTTCGTGTCGACGTTCACCTTTAAAAAAAACCATAAAAAATCTGTGATTTAGTTTCAAATTTTGTTTGTCCTTTTGACCTTTTTAGAGAAAAATCCACATGCTCACATTTGGTGTTTACCTACATGTAATTTATTAGTGGACTAATGGTGTATACAAAAAATACAATATTTTTTTACTTTCAAATTTGTAATACCATGGGTCTACCATATGAATACCATGACATTGCCACATTATTTTTCTTGATTAGAGGTCTGTTATTTTGACGTGCATTTTCCCAGTGTACTACCGCACAGGAAGTGCTTCGAACAAGAAAAGCGGAAGTTGTTGATGGACCAACTTGTTTTCTAATGTAAGCTTTCTCACGGCCAATTTGTACGTAATGCGTATGATTAGTAATATCGTACGACTACGGTTTTATTAATCTCGCCGATACGACTGCTTGCGTACACTGGGTGAGTTGTTTACTAGTAGTGATGGTTTAGGTTGTTGTCTTAGCGTTCTGTACATACGCCTTATCCGGGCCTTTGTGCCAGAGAGCCTGATAGTGGACAGCATGTTTTGTTTATTTATTTGATTATTGTATATTTAGGCTAGATAATGTACAAACGAACCTTCTGTTAACACTCAGTAGGTAACACATGCTGTAATGTGTTGGGAAAGTATCTGGCGCCCCACAGATTTGACATGACAGCACTTTGCTGTATTAGAACAGAAATGATTACAATTATTGCATATAACTATATAATCTTCTAAGACATTATATGCGGGGCTAAAGATAGCATTTGCATTGATAATGCATTTTATTTACAAAAATGAGTGTTTTACGTTGTTTACGATATTTTAAATTGAGTTCCATGTCACTTCCAATGTGCATACATTTAAGTCCCATGTTATTGCCATGTAATGCTATCATTTTACCATGTTGCTATTTCAGTACTTTTTTATGTATTATTATGTACTCATATACCATGTGTTACTTAAATATTACTTCATGGTATTTCAGAGAATACTGTTACTACGCAAAACATGGTGTTTCCACATACAACCATAACAATATCATTGTATTTTTAGTTAAATTGCTTTAACAAACTGCTTTTTGTTAAATGATGAATCAAGATTTGCATTTCCAGTAAGAATTATAAATGCTTTGAAGAAATGGAAATATTAGCAAGTTTTATTTTTGGCATTGAATGACATATAGTCGTGATGGGCAATTTTCAAGCTTTCATTTTAAAATGTGTTTCAAAAGATAAATATGTATGGCATGCCTAAATGATACTACACAACGGAAATTGTGTTCTTATGTGATGCATCTCGGGCTGAATTAAATGCAGAAAAGTTGAATAGACATAAAACTGCTTTTTTATGGTTTAGGG